CCCTTTCGCATCTCTCATTGAGTAAATATCACTTAGTTTATACTCCTTAATCGGTTGATTATTTCACGGCAGAAGTCATTACGGACTGACATCAGGAGAGCTAAGTCAGTTGATGAGGTTGTGAACCTTCATCGACTGAGATGGCTGGTTGGGACCTGTGTTACGCATGTCTGACTACTATCTACCTCGTCACACAATGTTGACCGAAGTAGGTTCAGCGGGGGCAGTTTAAAACATGCCATCAATGCACAAAGTCCTTAACTGTTCGTTTATTCCATGTAGGGCGATCCAGACTGACCGGTAGGGTCTGCGGGACAAGAGAAACCAGTGGTTGGAGACTCTAGGTCATAAGGCTCAGAACCAGTGGTGCAGATGTATACACACATTTATCCTCATGTTAACTGCTGTACATAGCTCATCATTTTCTCATCCCTCGTTCTTCTCTCTTACTACTTTCTGGGCTTTTGACTGATTTTTCTTTCTTGCTTCATCTTCCATCTTATTGCCTTCTTACTTGATGTGGTGATATGAGATGAGATGTGGCAACTTGGACCGTTACACAGTAATGCCTAGTCCTAAGTTGATTTCGATGATGATGATTAGTTAGAAAACTATTGATAACAGTCTCTGATGAATATTATCTCGAAATCTGTCAACCCCTAGAAACCTCAAAACTGATTAATTACCCCCCCCCCCCCCACTTCAGCCTATTTCTCAAACAGATAGTTGTTCGCTTGCTATTCTCTGATTATTTACCTAAAATTCCATCAACCTTCTATGCCAAAATGTCAACGTTACTTGTACACTACGAAAAACTGTAGTTTTTCATAGCAAATAACTGATGCAACCTTGAATAATATGTTCATTTATATCCGACGACACTTTTTTCAATTTCCATCAGACTGGTCTGCATCACGGCTCATACCACTCTATGAGAAGGGAGAGAAGACTTCCTGGGATAAGGACCAGGGAATAAGTTTGACTACTGCCATGCCCATGATCCTAGGATCCATAGTTACCGATGCCTATCTAGAGCTCGAGAAAACCATATGGGTTTCCCACCTGGACCAGGGTGAATTGATCACACTTTTATCCTCCGACAGGTTCTGGAGCAAAGGTATACCTACTCGTGGCCGTCACTTACTACATTTGTCGACCGAAGGTGGAATTTGACTGAGTCGACGGTGAGGTGTTGCGGCAGTGTCTGACCATAAAAGGAGTACCGAGTTAGTATGTAACGCTAATCAAAGCTGTCTACTGGAACTCACACAGTCGTTTCAGGGCTTACGAAGAGTTGTCTTCAGGGATGCCCGTTGTCATTGTTCCTGCTTAACTTCGTCATAGACGTACTAATGAAAAAAGATTGATCTACTCCCTTGAGGTCATCTTGTTGACTTGGAGTATGTAGACCTAACTGTCCACCTTGAGTGGAAATCCGTCTATGTTTAGCATCCGTTTTGCATCTGTGAGATGTAAGATGATGTTTCAGGACTGGTCTAAAACTAATCCAGGTCAGTTTTATGATAGGGAGTGAAGTAAAGGAACCTTCATCGAATGAAATATCTAGCTTGCACAAGTTACCTCCTATCTCGATGAGTAATGCTAGGTGAATACTACCTGGAAAATTATTCCTGAGCAAAATTATATTCATTTCCAATCATAACAACACCCTGTTATATATTACTGATCAACATGAGTAATCAGAAACCATTCTGATCAACTAACAGTGAAGGTTGCTAGGCGAATTGAGATGATCTAAGCATCAAACAAATGTTTCACCAATTAAAGGATCAGCTCATTTTTATCACCATATTCTTTGCCTTAGGTAGATAACAACTTGTTATCAGTAAATTTTGCTTCCCCAAATACAATAGGATATCATCAGACAGGTAAGTTTGATTTATTTGGATCGTTTCTCCCCACGAAGTTAGAAGCTGACATACACCCGCTTTAATAAAAACACCCTGTAAGTTAACAATGACTGTTATATACAACAGTAGGTAGTTAGGGTTTGCTAACTGGATTTGATAGAATTGTGTGTAGGATGTTAGATCAGTAATGTGGTGTCTAATTTATAGTTTGCCGTAATATATGTTTTCATTGGCATTCATTCATGACCTCCTTGGATAATATGAACCAGTCTACAAATCGAACTTGTCTCTGGGTTGACACCAGTTCTTTTTATGTTACAGATATGTCTCGCTGACAAGTATCAACAACATATTTTGGATCGTTTTGTTGGCGATATAAGGTGAGTAAAGACTTATCAGAAATCCAAGAGGATACAATCGATTCCTTGTTAGGGTTAGGGTCATAATTCCAGTCTTCAACTACAGATTAAACAACGATCATCCATACAATTAAGCATTCTATTGAATATTAGGAACAAATATTGTGTCTTGTGCACAAATAAAGATGAAAAAAAATGTTACTTCAATAAATAAAATTTGAGGGGTGCACCCCTATACCCTGCTTAGATAAAAAAAAATCACATCAATTGTCAAAAGAAAACATTGACAATTGGTCTAAGTCATTTAAGGAAGCTTAGACCCCCAAACCTCGCCTAGTTAACTAGTTCACTGCTTCCCAGCCGGTCCTAAGCCCGGATAAAGAGGGAAGTTTAGGTATAGGACTAGTAACTCTACCCCGTAAAATCAATCTCATCGCTAAACAAACTTCGAAGCACGAAGAAAATATCAAAAATAAAAATAAACTTATTCCTCGCTGGAATCGGAGAGACGAAATGGCGCCGGTTGGTGAAAGCCTTCAGGAAGCCAGTCGGCCGATGTGTCTTCTCTCGATGAAAGAGAAAGTAAGGATGGGGACATGGAATGTCCGCATCATGTATTAACCTAGCAAGATTGTCCAGATTCTAAAAGAGATGAAGAGGTATGGCATAGAAGTGCTTGAAATCTGAGAAAGCAGATGGAATGGAAGTGTACTCTCCAAACTGTCAACTGCAGAGGAGTTAATTATCTACTCCGGTCACCCAGACGACAACCACTAGCACACGGAGAGAGTGGCTATCATGATTTCCCCGAGAACATCAAAGGCTCTCATGCAGCGGGAACCAGTCTCCACCAGGATCATGACAGCAAGATTCAACTCAAAAGGAAGGAAAGTCACAATCACACAATGCTACACGCCAACAAATAATGCAGATCATGAGAAAAAGGAGCAATTCTAGAAACAACTGTAATCAGTACTGGACAAGACTCCAGTTGGCAGAAGAAACTGAAGATGAATTGGATTGGGCATACACTGAGAAAACCATTCGGGGACATTATTACGCCCTAGGCCCTCGAGTGTAACCCACATGGGAAACAACGAGTTAGGCGGCAGAGGCGAGGGTGATATGGAGGAAATCATGTGAGGAAGAAATGAGAGCTTATGGGTAGTCATGGCGCCAGGTTCAAAAGACTGCGGAGAACAGATTACAATGGAGGCATGCTGCTGAAGCTCTATGTTCCACTGGGAACCCAAGGGGAAAACAATAATAATAGTAATAGACTTTCCTGATTGGCATCTGTTAAAGGTAATTGGAATTGAAAACTTGAAACATTGTTTTTCATAAAGAGAGATGAAGTCTCTCATCTCATTTATCAACTTTCCTTTTTTTTGTTTAGATTTATCATAAAACTTCTAATATATCAATATTTCTACTTATTGACTTCTGTCTCACTGTGGGGTGATATATAAAGTATGACTAATTACTATCGTGTTATTGGCTTTCCATCTATCTTCTCTGAATACAAAATAAGAATTTCAATTGATTATCAATTATTGTAACGGAAAGATGAAGAGTAATTGTTTTTCTAGATCATTCTCAACAGTTACATTGTTATTGCCGAAGAAAAATACTAAACACAAACTCAGTAGATTTACTTACGATTAATCAATAAATAGATTAGATTATACCGGGTACATAGTTACTAAACAGTGACATAATGACTTAGTGGATTAAATTTTGACGTTTGAAGCAATTTCTCCTGAGAACAACATCATTCAGTAGACAGGCAAGTACATTCAGCTGACGAGACCATCCTAGATTCCGTTGCTAGTCATAACCAAGTAAATTCAGGTAATATCTAGGCATCCCCTTATGGGATCTCATATAGGACGAAACATGCATCCTAGACCCCACTGCTAGCCATTATATCATCATTTTGACACTATAATTCAAATACCTTATCTTAGGTAAGTCAAATAGTATCGTAGTGCCCAGCAGCACAGCAGTCCGCTCTGTTCTACTGTATGGCTGTGAAACATGGCCATTGAAAGTGGATGATATAAAAAGGCTTCAAGTGTTTGACCACCATTGCCTTCGTAGTATAGACCGTATTTCGTGGTGTCGCTACGTGAGTAATGCAGAAGTCAGATGTAGAGTTTTAGGGAGTAGAGGTAAGTCAGTTGACATGGTTGTGAACCTTCATCGACTGAGATGGCTGGTTGGGACACGTACTACCTATGCCTAGTCGCCATCTGCCTCGTCACACAATGTTAGCTGGAGTAGGTCCAGGCTGGAAAAAGGCCCGAGGTGGTCAGACTAAAACATGGCACCAATGTATGAAGTCTCTGACTGTTGGTTTAAGCCATGTAGAGCGATGCAGACTAGGTGGTTGGTGTCCGCGGGACAAGAGGAACCAGTGGTTGGAGACCCTAGGTGATATGGCTGGGAACCGATGTCAGTGGCTCAGATGTATACACACATTATCCTCATCTTAACAACGCTATACCGAATCTCACCATTTTGTCACTCCTCTTTCCTTTCTTCTCATGATTTATATTTTTTTGACTGCATTCACTTATCTTCATCCTTCACCTCACTACCTTTCTACTTGATGAACTGACGTGAGGCGTGGCAACTCGGACCGTTACGCAGTACTGCCTGGTCCTATGTTGATAATGATGATGTAGTGCCCAAGTTACTATCCTGTAACATCACAAACTAGTTATCAAGTATGCAAGAAAAATTTAATTTATCCTGAATAATGGTATACCTTGTAATAGTCAATTTCATGTAATCGTTCTTTCAGTTTATCATTTTCCATTTCTAAGTTGATAACACGTTCAGCAGTTTGTTTTAATGCATCCACTTCATCTTGCCAATGTCTCGCTGTATGCGCTGCATCAGCTAGTCGTGCACGTTCCTCTTTCACTTGACTTAATTCACGACGTGTTTCAGATAAATGATCTTGAAGTTCAACCAACTGGTCAGCTTGATCTTCACTAGAAATAATAGGAGTAAAAGAAAGTAAATGGATACTTTCAATATTGACATCAAAGTATATTGGTTGATAAGTGAATTTAATTATCTGTTTATCGATACCTGTAATTCCACGCTGCTTTACTGGGTTGATTTGCTTGACCCCTGTCGGCTGATGGATTCTTATGCAGAGGCTTTCATACACCTTGGATACTCATTATATCGTGATCTACTTGGTGGATAGCAATGGAGTGCAGGGCATGTGTTTTTTTCCCCATTTGGGACTCTTCAACTAGGAACAACAACACTCACTGGCGTGCACGTACATCCAGCTGAAAAAGACGGCGTTTTAGATTCCATTGACACCTACCAACTAGACTACAACATGGCATAAATTCACTTTCTTTATTTTCTTTGTGCTTAGAAGTTTCTTCAGCGATTCGATTGGTTTTACGGGATAGGGTTGCTAGCCCTACGCCAAACCTTCCCTCTTAACCCGGGCATAGGACCGGCCAGTAACTAGTGAACTACTTAACCAGGTGAAAACTAACAAGTTGACAGAAGAAGCAGCGAAAACGGGATTTCAAGTGAACGTAGAGAAAACAGAGGTGATGATGATACCCAACCAACACTACCGCCACCGCCACCACCAAAAACAACAAGCTCTAATCACCATCAACGGGAGAAACTTAAAGCAAGTTGTCGCTTTCACCTACCTACCTACCTACCTAGGCAGCACTGTTTCAACTACAGGCGGCGGCGACACAGATGAGGATGTCAAAGCAGCCAGGATCGGAAAGACAGCAAGACAAGCCTTCCTTCATTCACCTGAAATCAGTGTGGAGATCTACTCCACTCCACTCCACTCAGCATAAAGTGTGAACAACATCCGAATTTTCAACACTAATTCACTCAAGTAAGTCAGTGCTTCAATGTGATGGTTCAGAAACTTGGCGCATCACGAAAAGCACTTCCAACAAACTACAGACACTCAACAACAGTTGCCGACCACACTCTCTCGATACTGAAGATCAGATCAGACGGGCAGAAAAAGTAAGCAACTAGGAGCTCTGAGAACGAAACAACCAAGAACCTATCGCCCATCAAATATGCGGAAAAAAGTAGAGATGGGTTGGATTGGGCATAAACTGAAAAGTACGATTGGGGACGTCACGCCCCAGGCCAGGCTGTCGAGTGGAATCCAAAGTGGAAACGACGATTTGGGCGTCCGATGGTGAGGGTGACATGGAAGAGATCATGTGTGGAAGAAATGAATGCTTGTTGGCAGTCGTGGTACGAGGTTCAAAAGACTGCAGAGAACAGAGTGCAATGACGGTGTGCTACTGAATCCCTACGTTCCATTAGGAACCCAAGGGAAAATAATGATAACAATGACAGAAATTCTACTCATTGATGTATTTTCTGTTATAAGGAAACTATCGTCTCAGACACGTTACTCCATCATTAAACAATGGTCACTGCGAAATTCTAAACCTCGAATCATAAGGTATCTGTAGATTTATCGTTATCTAAACACCTTCCACAGTATGCGACAACAATATAAACAACAAAGTTGGTTTCAAAGCAAACAAGAAGGGAATATCAAAGACACGCGTATGTTCTCACAACTAGATAAACACAGAAGACTGCTATATGCTCCAATACATATGCCTCGTTATTTTCCATTTTGATAATATTGATGGATAACGGTTAACAGTGGAATATAAGACGCGCGTTTCGTTCCATTTGCGACTCATCAGCCGAATGTATCTAATTCCTGCTGGATGATGTTGTTCCCACGAAGACTCAAACACTGAAAACTATTTTGAATAATTCAGTTGATGTGGCTAGCAAAAGAATCCAGGAAGCGCGTTTCGTCCTATTTGGGACTCGTCAGCTGGATGTACTTATCCCCTGTGAGTAATGTTCTTCCCACTGAAACTCGAACCTCGTATCCATCGCTTCAAACACCAAGGCGTTATCCACTATGACACAGAGGAACGATAGCCAATTCTTGTGCAATGGGTAGTAGTTATTACTATTTATTGACATACTTATTATTCTCCGTTATTTTGTTAGATAGAATTGTTCGACCTCTATTGGCATGCGGATGCCTCGATATTGCCTGAATGTTAATTGTGATGATTCATTTGGTCAAGCGATTCGATCCAACAAAACAACGAAGAATAACAAGTATGCCAATAAATACTATTTTGAAATAGTTTATCAGTGTAACCTCACACGAGATGTGAACTATTGATACAAAATTCGATGTTCAATACCTTCTTATCTAGAATTTATTTGAAATGAAGTGCAACTGTCATTGAATATCATCATTGGACATCTGTTATCATTCCAAAGTTCATTATTCCTTTAGATTATGGTAACCTATTGGAACTCTAAAATATCTGTTTAAAATTGAGTTCCAAATTTACCCTCAAAACATATGCTATTTAGTCGATTGTTTCCTACGAAAAATCTGTTAATTTGAAGCTAATATCAATTGGAGAAAAAAAATGAAACCACTGGTCCTAACTAGTTCAATAGTTTTCCAGCTAACAAATTTTTGGGCTAATTAATGATCCGACCCTCCTCCTTCTGCCTCCTACATCATGAGGTTCAAACTTCAGTAGGTGGTGTAAGATTCAAGTTCACTACCCACTTGGTGAAAGTTGATTGACTGTCTAGATCAATAAACCATAGCTCAAATGATTGTAATGAAAGTAATTCATGAAAAAAGATCTAAATGATTTTCTATAGAATAAGAAAATATAAACTTACATTTCAATATGTGCTCGACGTAGTTTTGCCTTGGTTTCAGCTAACTCAACAGATAAATGGTGTTTATCCATATCCATCATAAGAATTTCAGGTGTGATAGCATCAGTAGGATATAAAGAACGCACTGTCTCTAATTCATTTGTCTCAATTTCTAAGCCTGAGTCTATCTGACTTATTTCTGATTGTTCATTTGTTTTACTGCTTTGATTTGTTTGATCTTGTGAAGTTATTCCACAGTCATCTTCAATGTTTTCATCTTCAACTGTTCACTAGTCTGTCGTAGAGATAAGTTTAAATCATTGTTTATTATGTTACTGATTTCTGCGTTTTTACACGATAATGAAGTTTGTTCATCTAGTCTAGGCGTGGAGACAGCAAAGTGATTATTATTACTGTTTACAGTATCAACTCGAAGTGATATAGTGGAAACTGAACGCTCTTTTAATCCATGCGATCCTAATGTCCTAGCTCTAGAGGCTAACTGGTATCTTGCTTGTAAGGTGATAAATTTATTTTGTAGGGAAGCCAATTCATCTAACAGTTGAATAATTTCCTGAAATGGACAGAAAACCAATATGAATATTTTTATACCTCCTAGAAGACTGGCAAATCAAAAGTTGTATTAGTTTCATACTACTTATAAAGCATGCAAGTAGTTCAAAATTAGTGGGAGAAATTAACAAAGTATTTGGTTTGATCAACGTAGTATTTAAGATATTTTGAATAATATATGAACTGGTATACAAACATTCTTTTTCAAATTCATACCGGTAACCCTGGCCTCTTAGTTTTAGTGCACTGATATAAAGTATTTGTAAATACTAGATGTACCTGCATCCCAGTGAGTGATTCTGCTACCGTTAAGACTCAAACACAAGGTCAACTTCTCCAAACACCAAAGGCCAATGAGTCACGATAGCGAAGGTTATACTGGGTGATAATTGATGGTGAAATGAAAATTTGGAACGCGGCTGAATTAGAGCTAGCGACCACCGAGTTCCCGGCCCGGTGGTCTACCAGTTGAGCTACAAGGTTCAACTGCTGACCAGATTTTTGTTTTACTTCAATCATCAAAAAGTTCTTTGGTCGACTGCTATGTGAATTCATGACCCGCTAATACCACTCGATCTTATTAACACTGGCTGCCTAGTTAGGACTTCTCATCATAATCTAAATGTAACTGAATTAGAGAGGGGGAGCATCATATTAATTATCACTTACTATTTCAATCAATCCGTTAACTTCTCCTACTAATTTTGAACTACTTGCACGCTTATTAAGTAGCATAACTTTGGCATGCAAGTTTACAAGGTATAACATCAAAAATTAGCCGTAAAGTTTGAAATCATTCGGTAGTGCAAACAACGGATTTCCTTTGTAATGGAAGAAATTACACACAAATACTGTATTCAGAACTAAACTCCTATTTCTGACGGTCATTATCCCTTTTCACGCCAGGATACGAGAATTTTATGCATAACTCACGCTTTCTCAGTGGTGCTTTATAAAATTTACCTTCATATAACGAAAGAAAAATAACTGAAGACCAGTAATATGAGTGAGTGTTCACAAGTAATCCACAGATAACTATAAACTCATTCTTAAGGACTCTTGGTATTTACCAGCAAATTTAAGGTGTAGCTGATAAGAAGCCGCCAAAAATGGAAATCGACACGCTAAGTCATCACCGCTCAAAGGAGAAGCTTTCGTACTTCAATTTTCGTTTCATATCATTTTATGATCAGAAAAAACCTGATTGGACGATTTAATTCTACAGCTGACCAGTCAAAACAAACCATTCAACTTCTGACCTTGTGATTTTATATGTGCATGAAAAATGTATATAAAAATGGTAGATTTTTGCCGAATAAAGTATCTTTCTTGAAGTCACTGGCTGATATTTTCACAGCTGAGTGAAAGATAAGGTACTGTAGGATAGCTGTCGCTATTCATATATAGTCCAAGTGACTCAATGAGTTAGAATTGTTCTCCCATTTCTAATTAATCACTCCCTCATAAGAGTAACTCTAAGAGGAATGATATTCCCCCTAAGAGATGTTGCCACTAAGTTATATGAGTTCAAACAAATCGCCTTTAAAACTTCTCTTTTAAGAATTAAATGACTAGAAAATATACGGTCCAGTGAAAAATGATTCGTTTATAGGAATAAATAACTTTTTTTGAGGGAGTTGTGGGGATTTGGAAATATTTCAAGTTGTTATTCATCGTAGACTGATATCAGTTGGAGGAACAAAGGAAACCTGGGAACACTTGACAGCTGTTTCGTCTCCCCTAGTATGGGACCCATCAGCAGTGCTCACCTACAACCCCGCCAGGGATTGAACCTGCAACCTTCACGTTCCATGACCAGCACGTTACCATTCAGCCACTGAGTCGGATTCCAATGGTCCATATTTCCAATTTCCAACTGATATCAGTCTACGATGAATAACAACTTGAAATATTTCCAAATCCCCACAACTCCCTCAAAATTCAATTGAACTGACCCTCATTGGTGACTAGCTTCGAGAGGTGATTCGCGAAGTTCCAATGAGAAGTCGTGACCGGTAAAGCCTGATGGTCATGAGGACAGTTACTCAACAAACAGATTGGGTGGCGGTTGCGCTATATCGTGAGCTAACAGCAGTTGGAAATATGGACCATCGGATTCTGACCCAGTGGCTCAATGATAACGTGCTGGCCGGTGAGCTTGAGGGTTACGGGTTCGATCCCTGGCGGGGTGGTAGGTGGGCGCTGCTGAGGGGTCCCATACTCAACATCATCAGTATCAACATAGGACCAGGCATTACTGCGTAACGGTTTAACTTGTCACAGCTCATATCAGTACATCAAGTAAAAAGGTAGTGAGGTGAAGGATGAAGATAAGAAAATGCAGTCAAAAGAAATATAAAGTACGAGAAGAAAGGAAAAAGGAGTGACAAAATGGTGAGATTCGGTATAGCGTTGTTAAGATGAGGATATTGTGTGTATACATCTGCACCACTGACATCGGTCCAGCCATATCACCTAGGGTCTCCAACCACTGGTTCCTCTTGTCCCGCGGACACCAACCACCTAGTCTGCATCGCCCTACATGGCTTAAACCAACAGTCAGAGACTTCATACATTGGTGCCATGTTTTAATCTGGCCACCTCGGGCCTTTTTCCAGCCTGGACCTACTCCAGCCAACATTGTGTGACGAGGCAGATGGCAACTAGGCATAGGTAGTACGTGTCCCAACCAGCCATCTCAGTCGATGAAGGTTCACAACCTCGTCAACTGACTTACCTCTTCTCCCTAAAACTCTACACCTGACTTCTGCATTACTCACTTGGCGACACCACGAAATACGGTCTATACTACGAAGGCAATGGTGGTCAAACACTTGAAGCCTTCTCATGTTTTCCACTTTCAATGGCCATGTTTCACAGTCACACAGTAGAACAGATGGGACTGCTGTGCAGTACACGCGACCCTTAATAGACAAACGGATATCACGGCGGCGCCATAGGTGGCGTAAATTGGCAAGAGGCAGTCGAGTCTTTTGTATCCGTGCAGAGATTTCATCGGCCACTGAGCCACCAGGGCTGATCCTACTTCCCAGGTAAGTGAAATGGTCAACACGCTCAATAAATACACCCTCAATTGTTAGCCGTGGCACCGTTGAAGACCAGTCCTGGAGCAACAAGTTGCATTTGGGCGGTGAGAAATGCAAACATTCCAAAACATTCTCAAATTGCCACTCAAAGTGTTCAGAAGACTCTGCATCTTCTCAGTGTCTTCACTTAGCAAGACTATGTCATCTGTATATTCTAGGTATAACGAAAATTCTCCTGTGATCAGGTCAATCTCTGTGTAACCTGGTGACGAGAGGGAAACCTCCATAAGAATGTCTATGATAAAATTGAATAAGAATGGAAACAGTGGGCAGCCTTGACGGACACCACTCGATGAGCATAGCTCCCTGGACATCTCACCGTAGGCTCTAACATGCCCACTAGTGTTCGAGTGGAGAGCCTTCAATAAGGTGATGTACTTACTCGGCACACCTTTCAGTGAGAAACAATGCCATGAGACTTCTCGATCAACGGAGTCAAATGCCGCCTTCAGGTCGAGAAATACAGCTATTGTCAGGCGTCGGTAAGGGTGTCTATGTTCCAGGACCTGGCGCAGTGTGAATATTTGGTCGATACATCCACGGCCGGGTCTAAGGCCTGCCTGGTTTTCTCGGGCTTGCTGTTCCCGAGCTCCACTCAGGCGTCGGAGAATTATAGAACTTAGGATCTTAGACACTATGTTCGTCAGGCTGATTCCTCTGTGGTTATCACAAGAGGACTTCTCGCCTTTCTTGAAGACTGGAATGATCAGTGACTTAGACCAGTCAGAGGGGATCGTATTTGATTCCCATATACTGGCTAACACTTCCGTTAACCTGACTAAGAGCACTCTACCACCATTCTTGTATACCTCAGCAGGTAGTCCGTCTGGTCCTGCTGCCCTTCCTCGTTTCAGGCTACCTACCGCTTTCTCAACTTCTGCTAGTGTTGGGGGACCTGTCTCTATGTCCCATTCAGGATCCGACTGGATAGCGGGCAACGCAATGGTGGCTGGAGGCCAGTTAAACTGCTCCTCGAAGTGTTCTGTCCATCTTTCCAGTCGTCTCCCCTGCGAGTGAATCACAGATCCGTCCTTCTCCGCTATAGCCTCACTAACTGTTGTTGACCATTTCCCCCCAGTCTCCTTAATAAGTCTAAATAACTGTCTACTGTTACCGATCGCCGCTGCCTTTTCCATCTCTTTAGCCTTCGCTGCCCACCACTGTTCGCGATCGTTGCGCAGACTTTTCGTCAGTCTATTTTTAAGTTGCGCTCGCTCTTCATTGTACTCAGAGCCTGCAGGGATGCATTCACGTGCATCCATTAGTTTGGAAGAAGCTGCTGATATCCACTGGCTCTTTTTAGCCATTATTTTGGAGTCGGCTACAGTCTTCAGTGCTGCTTTTACAGTAGACTGAAGATGGCACCAAGCTTCTTCTGGATGAGTGACAGTCTTTTGTTCCGATAACTGCCTAGCCAACTTCTCACTGAACACGGCTTTGGTGTTTTCGTTGTCCAGCAGAACTCGTAGTGGTTTTGTTGCCAAATTTTTTCTACGTCCATTGAGACGCAGGCATATACGTGCTCGGACCAACGCATGATCGCTGTCCAAACACGTACTCCAGAAGGAGCGGCAGTCTTCCACCGATCCTCTCCAGCGATGACTAATAGCAATGTGGTCTATCTGTGTCCATCGCTGAGTCGAGCTCGGTGGACGCCAGGTCAGACAGTGCCTTTCTTTATGTCTGAAATTTGTGCTGGCTAAAAATAGGCGGTTATCTGAGCATAGTTGTAATAGGCGATCACCGTTATCTGTACGTTCAGCTGGGATTCCGAAAGTGCCACCTAAGTGCCTTTCTGCCTCACTCAGTCTACCCACCTGTGCGTTGAGGTCACCTGCAACAACCACTACGTCCGAACGTTTGGCTTTCGAGAGGAGGTTAGACAGTTTATGGTAGAACTCGTCCTTCACTTCATCCGAACTGCAGTCAGTGGGTGCGTAAGCAGAGATTACAAAGAGACAACGGCGAGTCTCACTATTCCTTTTAGTTCTCACTGTGCCGTTCAGTCTCATAGCGCAGAGGCGACTATCAACTGGGATCCAGTCTAGTAGTGAGTTTTCTGCCCTGGTGCTTAATGCTATACTTACACCTGCAAGACCACGAGAGCTAGCTATCGAATCTCCAGAAACTCGAAGGGTGAATTTTGCGGATTCACCAGATTGGTCAGAAGAGGTCAGGTGAATAACCCCACTTGGGTCCTGTATGCGTGTCTCACAAACACAGCACACATCCATGCCCGAGTTGCTAGAGTCTTTGCCAACGAAGCCTGTTGGCCAATTTGACGAAGGGTGCGGACATTGAAGGCTCCAATATGTAATTTGGAGCGTGGTTTAAGGAGACCCAAGGATGCTGTTTTGTGGACTCAGATCGTTGTCGAAGGCTGCAGAACTAGGAGAAATTGAAGATGATGTAGCATCATTAACTGAGAGACGTGAAGGAAGATTAGAAGGTAATGATGGGGGAGGTGGATAGCAGTCTGAGGAAACTTGAATACTGACAGAGTTGTGAGGGCGGTTGACGCTTCCCAGTTGCCCACAGCATGGAAGACTATTTCTTCTAAAGGTACCTGAAAGAGATTTGTGTGACCACAGAGCCTATCGAAAATCTGCCTGAAGCCTGTCACATGTAGCCTTTTGAGTATGATTATTTTGAACTTTTGTATTTTTGGGGCTGGATGGTCGAAAGGAAACGACAAATGAACCAACACCGCCGGCCCGGCAGACCGTGGGGCATGGTGGAGTGTGTTATTTTTGGGGCCGACCTTTTCTAACCCCCCCTTCTACTGAGAAGGCAGCATCAGCATGGCACTGCTGGTTGTCCAAGAGAAACACCTTACTGCTGTCACACCCCATCTAGCCAGCAGCAGTATGACTTCTCCCTCAGACCCCCATCATAGTGTAGTAATTTACACCACAACGTTAACTGCTTTTCGTCTAACCACCATCCAACAGATCTTTGATGTATGGTAGGACCTCGAGGGAACGTGTTTCACCAGCATAGCTCGTTGGGTCATTGTGATATGCAAGGTTGACCACCACGTCAAGGTAGCAGCTATTGGTTGGTCCCATACTAGAGGGATGAAACAGCTGTCCAGTGCTCCCAGAATTCCTTTGTTTCTCCAAATGATACCAGTCTACGATGAGTAACAACGTGAAGTAATTCTTATTAACATCTAGACCATAGTTGCAAACCTTCCTTTCTCAAGCTAAGAACAAAACAAACGAAAAATTGTTTCGCTAATTGGAAATGGATTTGTAAATGCTCAATAATACACATATTACTATTCTTAGGATACCTAACTGTATGGATTATAAATTTCTATGCTGGCTGACTGACTGAAATGTCACCAACAGAATTACATTCGATTCTTAAGAATGTAAACCAACAGAGAATTTTCGATGTTATAAATTCGATTTCAGATTCCATTAAATTCACTAGTAGCAAAATAGAATCTAAGGACGGAACTCTAAAATTTTTAGACTGTCTTATCCAAAAAAAAAACTAGTGAAGGTAGATTCAGTATGAAAATATACAAAAAACCAACATATTCTGATGATCAAAAGGATGAAATGCTCATCCTGGATTCCACTACTAACCACTATCCATCTTTACTATACATAATTAGAACACAGGTAATATGGGGTCTTCCGCAGAGGAGCCCATATGCCAATAGAGACTGATCAATTGCGTCAATCAACAACGGTATAATACAAGTAACTATACTACAATTACACCCATCGCACAAAAAGTAGCTATCGTGGCTCGATAGTGTATTGAATAATGCTTTGGCGTTTGAACCGATCACTCCCGAGTCCAAATCCCGGTGGGGATAAGACCACTCGGCACAGGAAGGCAGGTACTTCTACTTGAGGAGTACCAAACAGGACGAAATGCGCATCCTGGGTTCTACTCCTAGCCACTATCTGTTATTCCGATGAATATTTAAACTTCCAAACGGATCATCCAACTAACATAAAGGCTAAAGTAGAGTTGAGCCTACTTAACATAGAGAAAAACAGGTCAATTCGGTAGTAGATTCGAGTCTCAGTGGAAACAGCATCACTCCGCACTGGGGTGCAGGTACATCCAGCCGACGAGTCGCAAATGGGACGAAACGCACGTCCTAGATTCCTCTACTAGCCACAACCAAGTAAACTAACAATGACAATTACTGACATTTTTATAAATAAAAGTACAAGAAACCTCACACGTATTCTATAACATACATACACACACACAAACGCACACATTGACTATCCTACAGTTTCGTTGATAGATGACAATAACGAGCGTGAACTTGCAATGACTAATCTTAATTATTACTCAGTTTAGATAGAAAAACCACCCAATCAATGACACACATTTAATGAATATATGTGATGTACCTTGCCTGGTTGACTAGTACACTAGTTACTAGCCGGTCCTAAGCCTGCATAAAGAGGGAGGTTAGGTATAAGACTAGTAATCCTACTCCGGAAAACTAATCTAATCGCTAAAATAACTTCGAGGCACGAAGAAAACGTCAAAAACACAAATAAACTTATTCCTCGCTGGAATCGGAGAGACGAAATGACGCCGGTTGGTGAAAGCCTTCAGGAAGCCAGTCGGCCGATGTGTCTCCTCTCGATGAAAGCGAAAGTAAAAGTGGGGACATGGAATATCCGCACCATGTATTAACCTAGCAAGACTGTCCAGATCCTAAAAGAGATGAGGAGGTATGGCATAGAAGTGCTTAGAATCTGAGAAAGCAGATGGACTGGAAGCGGACTCTCCAAACTCTTAACTGGAGAGTCAATAACTACTGAGACCACCTGAAACTGGTGTGACTAATAAACCCACAAATTCCCTCCAAACACTATTATGCAGACCAAAGGACATAACAACCAAAGAAGAAAAAATGAATATCACTTGGAAATTTAGTTCACATAAAACAAACGAAAGAAGGGAGACCTTAGTCAGTATTTGCAAGAACTGCTCCATCCCTGTCCACCCCAAGAAAAATATTAGGCCGCATCATCCTGGATGGACTTAAAAATACTCCGGATTCAACTTGATTGCGACCGGAACAGGCTGAGGCTGTCTGGCTTCAGGAGAAAAAAAATCATGTGCACATCAAATTGCAACGCTAAGCAATGCATTATCATAAAACACAGCATAAAATGGTAGTCAACTCACTACTTCGACTTCAACTCCGACAGCATCGACTGAGAAGTAATTTGGCAGGCAGCTGATTCAACACTACAGTTTTTGTGTCACAAACCACTATCGACCCTATTCAACAGCAGCTATATGCTATATGACGCTCCATATCAAGTGATTCATAATGGAAAGCTCAGTGATGCTTTTGAAGTGAAGTTAGGAGTAAGACAAGGCAGCCCACCATCATCGATCATCTTCCTGGTTGTGGTCGACTGGAATGGACTGGATCATGCAACAAACTGTGTGGAGCGAGAAGAGGGGCATATGCTGGCGGGACCGATGACAAGACCCTAGAAGATTTGAATTTCGCCGATGATTTACGTCTAATGTTCTGTGGCACAAACTCGAAGATCTACAGGCGAAAACTAACAAGTTGATAGAAGAGGTGAGGCAGCGAAGGAAGACGAGACCTCTTTCAGGTGAACGTAGAGAAGACGGAGGTGATGATGATACCCAACCAACAACAAGCTCCAATCACCATCAACGGAGAAACTTAAAGCAAGTTGTCGCTTTCACCTACCTACCTACCTACCTAGGCAGCGTCGTCTCAACTACAGGCGGAGGCGACACAGATCAGGATGTCAAAGCAGCCAGGATCGGAAAGACAGCAAGACAAGCCTTCCTTCATTCACCTGAAATCAGTGTGGAGATCTACTCCACTCCACTCAACATAAAGTGTGAACAACATCCGAATTTTCAACACAAATTCAGTCAAGTAAGTCAGTGCTTCAATGTGATGGTTGAGAGACTTGCGCATCATGAAAAGCACTTCCAACAAACTACAGACACTCATCAACAGTTGCCGCCTATGCTCACTCGATACTGAAGATCAGATGAGAAGGGCAGAAAGAATAAGAAAGGAGGAACTTACTCCGGCTGGCAACGAACCAACCAACAACCCATCGCCCAACAAATATGTGGAAGTAAGTGGAGATGGATTGGATTGGGCATACACTGCCCCAGGCCAGGCTGTCGAGTGGAATCCAAAGTGGAAACAACGAGTTGGGCGTTTAACGGTGTGGGTGACATGGACTGCATGGTGTGAGGAAGAAATGAAAGAGTATGGGGAGTCGTGGAGAGAGGTATTGAAGCCTGCTGAGAGGAGAGTGAGATGGCGACGTGCTACTGGATCCCTACGTTCCACTAGGAACCCAAGGGATAAATAAACATATCATAATCATAATTTCAAAACGAACAGTATAGTTATTAAAAGTCAACAAATAGAAGTAATTTGAAATACTTAAAGCCTACCTCTAAATAAACATCTTCAATTTGATTAACAACAGATCGAAATGTCCGCAAAATATCAGCATCCGATGATCGTAACTTCTCAAAACTTATAATGCCCAGTGAATTTTCAGTTACCTATAGATTTTATAACAGAAAAAAAAAGAGAAATCTTTAGAAATGCAACGGTATTAAACACCTAACGTTTTATGTGTTGTTCCAATGATATAAAACATTATTTCGTATAAATTTTATATTTTTTTTTCATTCAACCCCCCCCTGAAACTCCTGAGTAAATTATCACCAACTTTATTCACTGTTTAAAAATTTGATTATACTGAGATCCACTGCCTACCATATTACTTACATCATAAACCATACTTAGAAGGATTAACTTTGTGGTAGTTTATCCGTCATCTTTGAATATTTGTCAGCACACTCTAAAAGGATCATAAGCATAATATTGTTCCATGAAAAAGTAATATAATTGAGATCAAAAGACTAAAGACAAGAACAAAGTGAAATTTGGTGTTATTGCTTATACTATCTCATCGTTTAGCGGATCGGACTGACGGATCTACGAGCTCCTGGACGGCGGATGCCTAGATATTATCACTATTTCAATTCTACATTAATAATAAACGGTGGCTAGCAGTGACAACCTATAACTTGCATTCCGCTCTATTTGGAATTCTTTGGCTCTAGATGTAGCTGCCTCCCAGTGAACTATGCTCTGCTCATTAGGACTCGGACTAGGTTGTTATCCATTAGACCACCAAGCCACAACATTTACTTCTCGTGTGATCGATATCCTTTTTGATAGGTCCATTTCCACACTAGTCTTTTCTCTGCATCCCTATATCAGTAATCATTTTTAACAAAAACAGACATGAATAAGTGACACAGTTCAATGCTTCAATACTCAATGCCCTTTAAAGTGGTGATTATAACTACGCGTTACCTTGCTGTATTATTTTACGGTTATAATATTGGTTAGGCAGACTAACTTGGGCATTGTCGTAGAATGTAATTCCATATTCGGTTTGTTTATTCAATTTATAACACAGTGATACAGTATTATTTACTTGATGATATTTTGAGCATAGATTATTCCTCATAATCATATCAGTGTGTAACCACACTGCCTTCGATATCTGATTTTTATAGTCCTTTCAGCTGATAGTCTTTGTTTTTATTGGTAGTAAAATTTTCCATATCTCTGGTATAGATGTTACACCATTCCCATTACATGTGTTGGGTTGGGTGTTAGCTGATTCGATGAACATTGATTCAACCTATCTCTCCACATAATTATATTTAACTTATGTACAGTTGGTTTATAACACCGCATTTTGTGGTTGTGTATTAATGGATGTGTGCATTGCAAACACCGAGATTTCTTCCAGATTATTGATCTTATTGTGGGCTGTCATTCTATATTTAGCTAAATTCCTATCTTCCACCATTCTAACTAACCCCGACCAGTTAGTTTCACCTACATACTTGACCTCACATTCATTGGTAGATTAGATTATTTTGCTTAATTCGACCGATCGGATGCCGAAGCCAGCCGACAAAGCTTATCTCTGAGTGAATTTGTAGGTTTATATCCCACCCTAATTCCAGTCTTATTAAGAATCTTACTTAAAGTTTCTCATGTTCCTTCCTTCCTTGCTTCCTTACAGAGTAACACGATGAAGACTGTGAACTCCTTTCTACTCATGTTACTGTTATGATTTCTCTTCTTGTGTGTTCGTAAGACTTTCTTGATGAGCTGTAGAGGGTAATTATTAACTGTTGGTGCTTCAATCATGTGCTACAGCTCCTTGTTTATGTCCTTGCAGTGACTAGTCAGTTAGTTTTCTACCTCTATCATTTAGACACTTGACTAAACCTGCTTTCATTGACTGACATTGAATGAGATGATTTGAAGTGTAGATACCAGTTAGAATGTGTGTCAGTTTCGTGTAGATGGTAGTATACAAACCACCGTCTGTTCTTCGTTCTATCTTGTAATCCAACATAGGTAATTCCCCTTGTTCATATTTCACTACTTAAGTCAATTGGATTTCGCCTACTACTGAGTTTGTATGTGTGAGGAAGCTGTCGATATGTTCCGATTTTAATAAAGTAAATGTGTCATCCACATATCTCCACCTACTGTGGATAAATTTATCTGCTACAACTGGGGATATTGGCGATTCCATCATACTCCTTCTGTTTTTCTGTATATTTTGTCCTGAAACTTGAAGACTGTGGAGGTCAAGCATAGCTGTATGCCTGATATGATCACATCAACCGACAGGTTAGTTCTGTGAGTGAGTTCTGACTGCTTCCAGTGCCATATTGATTGGTATTTTAGTATAACGACTTGTTACATTGAAAGTAACCATTTATCCATTCTCTTCTACATATAGGTCATTAAGCCTTAGTTTTAACTCGTAAGAGTTTACTAGTCTACAATTTGAACAGTTGGTAACAGGAATTGGCAAATGTAATCCATCCATTAACACATAATCACACAATGGAATGGGTGGGATAAAACCACTGTACTTAAATCCAATATAATTAGATGGAGAAAGAGAGAGAGAGATTGATTGCTGAATCTTTGTTCATGGAATCAGCTAACACCGAACCCAACACATGTAATAGAAATGATGCAACACTTATGCTAGAGATATGGAAATTTTCAGTACCAGTAAAATAAATAAAATCATATGAGGTGGCAGGACTATAAAGTGCAGATGTCGAAAATGTCGTGTGATTAAATTGATATGATTATGAGCGATAATAATTCATCCTGGAAATGTCATCATCAAGTATATATTACTATACCATTCACTACATGTTGGTGTATATCAAATAAACAAATCTAATATGTCAGTCAAATCGTTTGCTACTCAACTACTGAGATTTTGATGGCATTGAAAAAGCTTTGTGAACTTGTTTCTCCGAGGAATTTGAAAATGAAATGATCTGGATTTATCGGTATGAAACCACCTCATAGAGAGTGCATCAACAGTAAGAATAACAAGGCTGTGCTCGAAGGAAACCAAAAGGAAATATAAAAGATGCATGAACCTCTCAACTATGAGGTAAACACACGAGATAAACAAACGTTCAAAGTGAAGAAAAAACATCAGGTGAACAACGGAAGGGATGTTAAATGATGATCAAAACACGATTGAACAGAATGAACAGACGTGGAAATCGTCAAATCTTATGAAGACATAATTATACTACTCAATAGTATAAAGTAGTGTGAAACGTAAGTAAGAATGATACAAGTGCGAACACGATGTGGGTGCAACGAAGAATAAGGAAAAAGAAGGAATTAACAGGTTTCATGAATTAACTATCAAGGGATTTTAGAAGTCAACAAAGATGCACAAGTTACAACATTTCGAATACTGTAAACTATGTAAATAAAACCAGTAGCCTGGCTAGTCATGCATGGATAGTTGGAATGCTGGAAATAAAATGGATTATTTAGTGTTACAACAAGTTGAAAAATTAGTTGTGTTCCACCACTTTCTCCTCCATGAGGAGATACTGGGAGAGAGATGTGAATGCTTTGAATTTTCAGCATGAGATAAAATGAATATAGGCGATCATTTGGTTCACTTAGGATTTCTGTCAACTACAGTGTGTTTTGAATAATAATAATAATAATAATAATAATAATAATAATAATTCACTTTATTATAAAGTCTTTGCGAGAACTCGCGTGGAGTCATGCTCTACTCCCGTCCACCCAGAGCAAGCAAAATCTTATGCCGCATCATTCTGGAGAGACTAAAGAATGCACTGGATTCAGGAAGTACAAATCATGTGCGGACCAAATTGTAAAGCTACGCATCATCATAGAACAGAACATAGAATGGCAGTCAGCTCTCTACCTCAACTTCATCGACTTTGAAAAGGCCTTTGACAGCAATGACCGAGAAATAATTTGAAAACTGATTCAACAATACAGAATATCACAAACTTTATCAGCCTCATTCAACAACTATAAAAAAAGCCACATGCCAAGTAATTCACAACGTGAAGCAGCTGTGTGATACTTTTGAAGTGAAGAGAGGAGTAAGACAAGGTTGTCTACTATCACCGACGATCTTCCTGATTGTAGTCGAGTTGACTGGATCATGCAACAAATTGTGAGGAGTGAGAAGAGGGGGATATGCTGGCTGGACCGATGAAAACACCCCACGAGGACATTTGGATTTCGCCAACGATGACTTGTGTCTAATGTCAGCACAAACTTGAAGATCTACAGGCGAAAACTAACAAGTTGACAGAAGAGGAAGGGTGGCGAAGTAAATGTAGAGAAGACAGAGGTGATGATGATACCCAACCAACACAACCGCCACCACCACCACCAAAAACAACAACCTCCAATCACCATCAACGGGAGAAACTTAAAGCAAGTTGTCGCTTTCACCTACCTACCTAGGCAGCACTGTTTCAACTACAGGCGCGGCGGCGACACAGATGAGGATGTCAAAGCAGCCAGGATCGGAAAGACAGCAAGACAAGCCTTCCTTCATTCACCTGAAATCAGTGTGGAGATCTACTCCACTCCACTCCACTCCACTCCACTCAACATAAAGTAGTGTGAACAACATCCGTAATTTCAACACTAATTCACTCAAGTAAGTCAGTGCTTCAATGTGGTGGTTAAGAAACTTTGCGCATCACGAAAAGCATTTCCAACAAACTACAGACACTCATCAACAGCTTCCACCTACGTTCACTCGATACTGAAGATCAGATGGACAGAATAATAAGCGACAAGGAACTCACTCTGGCTGGCAACGAACCAACCAACAACCCATCGCCCAACAAATATGGAGAAGGAAGTGGAGATGGATTGGATTGGATTGGGCATATACTGAGAAGACGGTTTGGGGACATCACGTGCCAGGCCAGGCTGTCGAGTGGAACTCAGATGGGAAACGATGAGTTGGGCGTCTGACGGTGAGGGTGACATGGAGTAGATGGTGTGAGGAAGAAATGAGAGCTTATGGGATGTCGTGGAGCCAGGTTGAAAAGATTGCAGAGAAGGGAGTTGAATGGAGACGTGCTACTGAATCCCTATGTTCCACTAGGAACCCAAAGGACTAATAATAATAGTCAGCAATTACCAGCTCTGGTTGATAACCGGATGAATGTGATTTAGACAGTAGCCCTGTGTTTCTTTCACTTCCAACCAAATTTATCAATGGTGTATCTGGATGGGTTCAATCCACAAAACTGAATCATCCAAGAGCTAATGATTGATTAAACTAGCATCAAACTATTCCTGTCAATCAGTAGTAAATAAAGTGGAATTTTCTACCTTATTTTGATGGATTTATTCTTCATGTCTAGGAAAGATGACAATTAGTAATTTGAACATTTTTCTTTCCAAAAGAAACTTCAGGAAAATATCAAGACATAGGCTACATTAAGTTGTATCATCCTTTCCAACGACTTAAGACTTTGTAAAATACAATTGCTTTACTAGGCTTATACGTGCAAACAGTCATATTGAATCAAAAATTTCTTAGGGGAATGGTACAAAGATTTGTTTTAATACATCATTTTGATTATTCAATGATTCAGTTTCCAAAAGCATAGACTTCAATCAAATAATGTTTACTTTAAAAAGGTGAAAATATTTTTCTGAAATAATAATAGTAATGATACCTAAAGCCAGGTATGGTAATGAATTTTTTGCTGAGGTTTAATAGCCGTTTAACGCCTAATTTCAATTAATTAAAACAAACAATAAGCGGGAAGACAAACCAGTGAGTGACCTTGAGATGGTTTAAACAGCTATCATTGTCATGACAACGAAAAGATATAGGTAAATAGATGACTCATGATTTAGTAAATATGAGTGTGAAGTAAATGAGATTTCATATACGTAAGTGTATTACTGATTAGTAAAGTATAGAAGTGGTTAAATTTCTTTCTATGCATTGACTTACATTTTTGATACATTTCATGATACCAGTTTGAACATCTGGATCTAAATTCTCCATAATTTGACGAATAAAATAATCACGTCGATCACATCGTACAGCTGCGCATAAAAGGAAGAGTAGGATCTTCTCTAATTCTTGGTAAGCTTGAGCTATAGATTTGAAATATAAACATAGAGAATTGGTTTTGAAAGTTGTTTTCCTTTACTATGAAAGTTGAATTTTATCATACGGTTAAACATTTGAAAATATACTACTGAGAAAAAATAAGTAGTTCAACATCGCTCATACTGATTCTGTAGACTTCATTGGCTAGACTGGTCAAAATGATCTAAACACCAACCAATAAACTTAAACTAGTTCCATTGCAGATGGATTATCACCTGGATAGTTAGGTGATAACAATTCTGATTGCATCACCAGGTGACGTGAGTTCGAATATCAGATGGGACATCAGTTCCATGGGGGTTTCAGATAAACTTTGCTGACGACTCCCGATAAGACCTAGGTCACGTAGGATTTATTACCAATTACCTTAATCCAACTAACATGAACTAAACACTAGACGGCCGTTTCACTTGTTCCGAATCGATCTCAACACCTTTGTAGTCGAATAAATTCAACCCACAGTGGCGAATTCTTTACGGCAGTTGAGTCTGCTTAGCTGACTTGTATGGACTGGTATACTGTGAAAAAAATGATCAATCAAACGACTCTTCAACTGGTATCAGTACATGATGAATACCACTTTGAGATAAATATTAAACAATCATTCAAGGTATACAGGTTAGTATAGATTGTATTCGGCAACAAAAGGATGTTGGTGTTCATCGTAGACTGACATCGGTTGGAAGAACAATGGACCCTGGGGTGAAACATTGAGATAGGCACCACCCACTCTGAGTTTCAATTTGAAGACATTTGAGATGCATTTCTCACCACTCAAAGCAAATTGTTATTTCAGGACTGATCTTCAACGGTATCCTGGCTAACAATAGAGGGTGAAGTGGTTGATTAAGTTGGACACTTTACTTGCTTGAGAAGTCGGATCAGATCTGATGCATTGGTGGGCGACGAAATCTCTGCATGGACACAAAAGGCTCAATTGGTTTTTGCTAACTTACACCATCTGTGACACCACCGCGATTCCCGACTGTCGATTAAGGGTCGAGTGTACTGTGCTGCAGTCCGTTCTGTTCTACTGTCTGGCTGTGAAGCAGGGCCATTAAAGTTAGAAGACATGAGAAGGCTTCGCTACCTTCAACATTCATGCAACAGGTACTTTAGCAACGCGGTGAGGATGATAGTGGTGTCGATATACACATTCCTCAGCATCATTTGACAGTTTATAACTAATTTCATTAACAATACCACAGTGAAGATAGACAGAATGGACATATTATTATTTTTATTATTATTTGTCCTTTGGGTTCCTAGTGGAACATAGGGATTCAGTAGCACGTCTCCATTCAACTCCCTCCCTTCTCTGCCATCTTTTCAACCTCGCTCCACGACAGTCCATAAGCTCTCATTTCTTCCTCACACCATCTCCTCCATGTCACCCTCACCGTCAGATGCCCAACTCGTCGTTTCCCATCTGAGTTCCACTCGACAACCTGGCTTGGCGTGTGATGTCCCCAAACCGTCTTCTCAGTGTATGCCCAATCCAATCCAATCCATCTCCACTTCCTTCTCCATATTTGTTGGGCGATGGGTTGTTGGTTGGTTCGTTGCCAGCCAGAGTGAGTTCCTCCTTTCTTATTCTTCCTGCCCTTCTCATCTGATCTTCAGTATCGAGTGAGCATAGGCGGCAACTGTTGATGAGTGTCTGTAGTTTGTTGGGAGTGCTTTTCATGATGCGCCAAGTCTCTCAACCATCACATTGAAGCACTGACTTACTTGAGTGAATTAGTGTTGAAATTACGGATGTTTTTCACACCTACTTTATGCTGAGTGGAGTGGAGTAGATCTCCACACTGATTTCAGGTGAATGAAGGAAGGCTTGTCTTGCTGTCTTTCCGATCCTGGCTGCTTTGACATCCTGATCTGTGTCGCCGCCGCCGCCTGTAGTTGAGACGATGCTGCCTAGATAGGTGAAAGAGACCACTTCCTTTAGGTTCCTCCCGTTAGTGGTGATTGGTGCTTGTTGTTGTTGATGATGGTGTTGTTTATCATGAAAGCAATTTTCAACGAGAAATCTAGTCCTCAAGAGAAATATGTTCATAACATCATGATGGAATACACGAGACTGGAAAAGTATATTCAAGACCAATCACATACAACGTCAGTGTTGAGACACATACAACGAGACAAAGTTGTAATAACACTACATAATGCTAACAACGGATGCACGTTCTACGAAAGATGTTTCTTTTCACTCAACAGCTGTTCGAATTACTGGGTCCTAGCCTCGAATCCCCGTGGGAATATGATCACCTCCTAGAATGCAGACATAGTCCAGATGATAGATGCCAGATAGAAGGAAATCTACGTTGTGGATTGCACTAAGAACCACAGAGACGTAAACATAATTGCGACTTGTTAAAGAGTATCCAACTTATCTTTGATATGATTCACTTTTTTGCACAATTAGACTGTTCACTGAGATAATAATAATAATAATATAATAATAATAATAATAATAATAATAATAATAATAATGACTGTAAATGATTAAATTACAGTAATTGGATAATTTTTAACAATTAAATTCAGCATGTCTAAAAGTTTAAAATTTGTTGACCACCCAGAGAAAAAAGAAATATGTTTTGTTATAACCATTTAGAGATAATGTAACACAACAGACTGATCTAATTGATGGTCGTTAATAAGAATGGGAGAGCGGCGATATGCTTGTGTGTGTGTGTGTGTGTGTGTGTGTATGTATGGTCTAAACGATGCAAAAAAACAAATTTTCTCTAGGGTTGACGATATATGTATGACTAAACTGCAGAATGGAATACAAATCACCATCGTCTTATTTCCTGTACATATATGTTCAGACAAAGGAGTATGCCTAGACTATAGTTAGGCTGATTGTCTATAGTGTTTGATAATGATTTTAAATACACACGCACAAACACATACATGTTTCATCCTGTCCGCTATTCATCAACTGAAAGTGTCTCAATTCCATTATGTCGACAACTTTCCATAACAACCGAACCCAAAGCTTATTCCTTCAAAAACAAAAAGGAATTTTTATTCAGCATGCGATTTATTAGTAATAATAATGATATTTTGAGGTAGTACTTGCCATGGGCTGATATCATTTGGGAAACCATTGGAAACCTGGGGGTACTGAACAGCTGTTTCGTCCTTGCATGGGACTCTTCAACAGTATGCACCCACGACCCGGCTTGGCACCGAACTAAACAGCTTCAGGTTTCACGCAGAATGCGTTCACTCATCCAGACGCTGGGTTGGAGTTCAATGGTTAACATTTTCCAACTTCTGTCAATTCACGACATAGCGCGACTATTATCCAAAGTCTTCATTTGGCATCCGCTCCCCTTCCTACTGGTTGATCCCATAAGGTCACGGCTTCTCATTAGAACTTTGCGATATCCATCTGGAAGCACGTCACTAACAAGTGCTATACAGTAATGTATATTTTGAAATGAATGGGATATCCCAACGTTCTAATGAGAAGTCGGGACCCATAGAGCAAATCAGGTCAGATGTGAAGCCTATGTCAAATGCTGAATTTGGATGATAGTTCGGCTATATCGTGAATTGACAGAACTGTGGATCGTTGAGCGTCGAACTTGTGGTTGAATAGCTCACGAGCTCGCCGTGAAACTTTAAAGTCGTAGATCATACTGCTAAGAAGTCCCATACTAGAAGAAAACAGCTGTTCAGTGCTCCTAAATTTATGTCTTTAAGGAAAATCTATGAGTGGGTTGATGAAAAATGTTTAAGAATTTAGTAAGTCTAGAAATACTTTTAAGGACAACTTTCAGAGAGAAAACAAACACTATGTTGATGGAACAACTACTGAGAGTTGAACGATAATGCATAACTGTTCAGTTCTGACCAAAAACGTTTCAGCAATGTACACTAAATGTATGTCATTCTTAATGACTTCCTTCGATAGGCAGTGGTTACTTTATCCCTAAATGAGTAGTTAAACATATACAATAAAATGACTTATGTGAACATAGTGACATTTAAAAAATCAGAGAAGAAAACCAAATCATTGTTTATTGATACTTGTAATTTCCTATTGCTATTTTTGGGGTCGAATTAATCAACTTCAGTTGGCAGATGGGCTTCTTCTATGCCACTATGCCTTGATACTACTCGAATATTCATTATGTTGTAGTCTACTTGGTGACCAACAATGGAATCCAAGATGTGAGTTTCGTCAAGTCCCAAATGGGACGATGCACGCGTCCTGGATTCCACTGCTAGCCACAGCCAAGTAAATTATCATAATCAATATTCAGGCAATATCGAGGCATCCGCATAGGAGCCCTTATGCCAATAGAGGTGGAACAATTTGATCCAATAAAGCAACGGAGAATTACGAGCATATCAACAAGTAGTAAGTAGCTACGTTATGATGGGAGTTCTAGGGTGAAACTGTACTATTGGCTTCACGGAGTGTAAAAGCAGTAAGGTGTTTTCCACGGATGACAAACACCACCATTCTGTCACTACCTTCCCGTGTAAAAGGAGGCGCACTCCTCCTTACTCTGTAGTATTCCGCTGGTGGTGGTGTGAGCTTTCCTTACCCTATGTAACGACAATTAAATCTCAATCCAAAACCATTAATGACGCCATGAGACCAGCCTCAAGCAGATTTCCCATGAAATTTACAGTCATGCAAAACCTCTCCATTTTCTTTATCAGGTATCCTGACGAAGAAACTTCCCGGCGTAGGCAGCCAGAAAGTACCATTCAACCGCACGCTTCCAGCACAGTTAGCTAACTATCGTGGACTCAGAGGTGTGGGCATACCATGAAGTCGGGGAGCAAAATGCACGTCTCTCAGCTGGATACTGGCGAGGAACTTTCTCTGAGTATTCCGGCTGAATAGATCTGTACATACTGAGAAGGATCATAATCCCTGCCGATACATACTCGTCATCTCCATCTACACGGCTACAAGCTGCAGTTCAGATGTTATGAAAAAGAATTCTACCAAAGG